AAAAAAAAAAAAAAAAAAAGTATAAAAACAATACAACAATAAAAAAACAGTATAACAACTATTTACATAGCATTTACATTGCATTAGGTATATAAGTGATCTAGAGATGATTTAAAGTATATTAGAGGATGTGCATAGGTTATATGCACATACTATGATAGTTTTTATAAAAAGACTTGAACATACATGAATTTCAGTAACCAGAGAGAATCTCGGAACCAATCCCCTGTGGATACTCAGGGACAAATAAATATACTTTGCTTCTTTCTTTACAGAAAATTTAAATTCAATGTGCCAGAAAGAAAATTCTATGCTGCAGCACAGACGCCCCCCAGTGACGGCCTGTGGTATAACAGGCACTGTTGGCTTTTGGATGCCCGCAGAGAAGCAGGTTCCAACTTAGGTAACAAACTGCTGTGTCACTTTTACAAGCTCAGTAGAATACAGATGCCGAAGCGGACTCTTCTGGTGAAAGTTAAAGAAGAATAAAAAGTCAGGAAGGAGTGTGAAAGAATGTATGCAAAATGGAATCAGAAAGAAGAAAAGGAAAAAGCTGGCACCATTTGAAGCAATATAGTCGCTGAACAAAGACAAAAGGAGATAAATACAGTTCAGCCAACCAAATTTCCTTTGGTTCCTTGAACTGGTACCTCTCTACTCCTGCCATGTTCTCTCTGATCTCTGGGCCTTCCACCTGCTGTTTCTTCTGCCTGGAATACTCTTCCCTGTCCTCTTTGGCTAATTGTACTCATTCTTAGTATCTCAGGTTTTGAATTTCTGTTTAAGACTGACTAGCTGTGGTGAGCAGAGGCAATGGTATGGTATTAGGAAACATTCCAGAGAGGGAGAACAGGCAGCACGGACTGTGAGCCCAGGGATCTACTTACCCTCTCTGATGCCGGTCCTCTGTTTCCAGGGCACATCTTGACAAAGCTGTTCCAACATCCAGTCAGCTTCTTTTACATCAACAAAGCCAGGATACAAATGGAGCCTGGGTGCAGAATGAACCATTGTTAACCAAAGAACATGGAAAAGATAAGTTAGACTCTAAACGTCAGTGGAAAAAGTTAATCTGGATGCAGCCGCTAATGGGTAGATGAAATCTTACACAGCTCCCAGAGCAAGCAGAGCCAACATCACCCAGGTCATGAGGCTCCAGATGTAAAATAAAATCCTTTCATGTTGGGGCAAATAAAGGAGGCAATGAAGGATAAAGGGATGATAGGTGAGGGCTTTTATAGATCATACTTCAAACAGTACTCCAGTACTGCTTAGCTGTGAAACCCTGGGCAAGTTACTGAACTGCTCCGAACTTTGGTTTTCTCATTTGCAACCTGAGATGACATCCATCTCATAGGTTCACCGTGAGGAGTAAACAGAATAACTAATAAGGTCAAGCGCAGTAGCTCATGCCTGTAATCCCAGAACTTTGGGAGGCTGAAGTGGGTGGATCACCTGATGTCAGGAGTTCAAGACCACCCTGACTAACATGGTGAAACCCCATCTCTACTAAAAATACAAAAAATTAGCTGGGCGTGGTGATGCACGCCTGTAGTTCCAGCTACTCGGGAGGCGAAGGGAGAAGAACCGCTTGAACCCAGAGGTAGAGGGTGCAGTGAGCTGAGATCGCACCATTGCACTCCAGCCTGGGCTACAAGAGCAAAACACCATCTAAACAAAAACAAAACAAAAACCTAATAAAATGCCTGGCCCTGTTTTATTTAAACAATTGGTCGTCTTCTGAGATTATGCTAATTCTAGGGAAAGCTAGAGCCATTATGACTGTATCAAAATAAACACAGCTAATGAAGGTTCTTTCTCCCACTGAATATGTGTTTATTTCAACAATGCCAACTCAGCTCAAAATAATTTTGGATATGTTTCTTAAGACATCTTCTGAAAGCCCACGGAAGATTCTCTTAAACTGCCTTGGTAGAAAATCTTCACTCTTTGAAGGTGCGTCTGATTTTTTGAAAGAGCCAAAGCTTACCTGAAGCCATACCTAGTTAACAATGAGATATGACCAAAATGATAAAACTGGCTTTTTTTCAGTGATTTGCTTTAAAAGTTCCAAAAAGGGTTATATACCATGGCAGAGTCACTGTTCCAGCAGCAGCTCTTTTTAAGAAACTCATTTAGATGTGTACCTTCTGATATATTTGTTTTAAATGTCTCATTATTTTATAGTGACAATTAGTATACTCACGCAGTAAGGTGATGCTTTCAAATGTTTTTAAATCAATGACTAATGCCTAATATATCCTAAACATATGCATTACCTACTGAAATCTACCCTAGGCCAGGTATGGTGGTTCATGCTTATAATCCCAGCACTTTGGGAGGCCAAGGTGGGCACATCAATTGAGCCCAGGAGTTCAAGGCCAGCCTGGGCAACATGGTGAAACCCCATCACTACCAAAAAATATATATATACAAAAATTAGCCAGGTGTGGTGGTGCACACCTGTAGTCCCAGCTACTCGGAGGCTGAAGTGGGAGGATGGCTTGAGCCCAGGAGGCAGAGGTTGCAGTGAGCCAAGATCATGCCACTGCACCCCAGTGTGGGTGAAAGAGCCAGACCCCATCTCAAAAACAAAAAAACAACAAAAAAAGAAATTTACTCTAGTGTAGCAATATGTATGTTATAAACAATAATATATAATATGTAATATACATGAAATATAATAATAATATAATGTGGCACTCACAGCACAGAAGTCCAGGCTAGACCCAACTCTAATATCAAGTTACTATGCAGCACTAAGAAAAAATATTCAGGCCAGGCATGGTGGCTCACACCTGTACTCCCAGCACTTTGAGAGACTGACGCAGGTGGATCACCTGAGGTCAGGAGTTCGAGACCAGCCTGACCAACATGGTAAAACCTCATCTCTACTAAAAACACAAAAAAAATTAGCTGGGATTGGTGGCACATGCCTGTAATCCCAGCTACTTGGGAGACTAAGGCAGGAGAATGTCTTGAACCCAGGAGGCAGAGGTTGCAGTGAGCCAAGACAGCGCCATTACACTCCAGCCTGGGCAACGAGAAAAAAGAAAAATCATTCAATCTTCCTAGGTCTCATTTCCTCATCTAAAAAACTGGGGAAGCAATAGCTACTGTATCTGACAGAAAGGTCAGGAACTACATGTGAAAATGTCTGGGTGCTAGAAATACTATATAAAAAGGAGATATTATCAAATTTTTGCTCCCCAAGAATTTAAGGGGCAGAAGTTACCTATATGAAATAAGGGAGTAGACTTTTTTAAACTTTAAGTTTGAGGTACATGTGCAGGTTTGTTATATAGGTACACTTGTGTCATGGGGGTCTGTTGTATAGATTATTTCATCATCCAGGTGTTAAGTCTAGTGCCCATTAGTTACTTTTCCTGATCCTCTCCCTCTTCCCACCCTCCACCCGCCGGCAGGCACCAGTGTCTATTGTTCCCCTCTATGTGTCCCTGTGTTCTCATCATTTGGCTCCCACTTACAAGTGAGAACATGTGGTATTTGGTTTTCTGTTCCCACATTAGCTTGCTGAGGAAAAGGTCTCTACCTCCATCCAGGCTCCTGCAAAGGACATGCTTTCCTTCCTTTTAATGGCTGCATAGTATTCCATAGTGTATACGTAGCACATTATCTAGGGGAGTAGACTATTTTGAGAGACTATAACTCAGAGATAATCCTCCTTTCTTGAGAGGATTTACTTACCTAGATATACCTGTGGGTGACAGGCTGATTTCATACACACCCGCTCTGCTAAAGAAACAAAGGAAAAAGACTTGTTAGTTTGAGACAAAATATGCCCTACCCAGTGGAAGAGTTATCCTTCTGAACTGCCAAAGTCCTGATGCACCAAAGTCATTTAATTATAAGAGAGCACTTGAGGAAGGCATAATCCCCACCTTCTTCTGCCACTGAGATAAAGGGCAAGATAATGGTGCATCATTAATGGCACTGGGAATGGAAGTGTGACAGGATCAGGCCATGGAGACAAGATCAATTCTGATTCTACTCCTTTATATTTTACCCATTACTGAGGCAGATATGGTCTAGGAATCTACTGCACCAAGAGGTGTCAAAGAGGTGTCAACTAGAGCACTCCTTTGGAAAACATGGACTAGGGGATACATTTAACAGGCAGCAAGCACATCTCAGGGCTCTGGGCTTCTGTTGCTTTCAAAGATATACATCTGATGAGGTTCCTCTTCTGATTAAAATCCTCCAATGGCACCCCAAAACTGCATTCAAGGTCCTCATAATGTAGCTCTATCTTCTGACAGCTCCCATAAACTCATCATCCGCCAGCAGCAATCAACTGCTTGAACACACCACTAGGCTTCTAACTCCATGCTTTTTGACATGCTGGAATGCCACCCTGCCACTCAGCATCCTCAACCCAATCCACCTCCAGCTTTAGAAGACTCTAATTCACCTTTCAAAAATCCCAGCTTCAGCATCACCTCTTCTAAGCTTTTCCTGAACTTTAATCCAGGCAAATAATATTAACCTCTCATCCTCTGTGTTACCACTAGACCTTAGATAGAGTCTACTATTTCATGATGTACAGGATTACAACTTACCTGATTACATGCCTATTTCATTTACTAGACTGTGGGCACCTGAGGGGCAAGGAATGGGTTGTTTCCCAGTGTCTGCGCATAGCAGATAGGCAATAAAGGTTTACTGAATTTAATCAAATGTGAAAATGTATAAGGCTGTTGCAGAACTGCCAGGTGGTAAGGCCCATAATGAGAAAAGTGACACAGACTGGATAGGTGTATCTAGCAAGACAACTGTGTCAGATCCTTCTCAGAGAGAAACGTTATAGAGAATAATACAAAGGGACAGTTTTCACATCACCCTCTGTCATGGCAGTTAGTGGTTCATGATCTCTGAGCTAGGCTTTTAAGTAGATGTACGAGTCCCTTTCAGCCAAAATGCAGTCATAGCTGTCACACATACTTATCACATTTTCTACATGCATTGTCTATAAAGTTTTCCTGGTTATACAGAGAATAAAATGTTTCAATATGATATATTTTTGGCCCATATTCAGAAATTGGCTCACTTTAAACGTAGAAGACGTTTCTGGGTTGTTTTTTTTTTTTTTTTAACCTAGCACAGTTAACTTTAAGTAACCAGAATTAAAAGATTCTAGGGCCAAGTAGGAATGAGTTCTGTCATTTTTCTCTGACAATTGCCCATTTTTTGGGGGCCAAATGTCGCATCAGTAGCTTGCAACATGTTTCATGGTTTTGTTTATTCTCCTTATCACCTATGAAGGCACTAACACACTTGGGGTTTTTTTAGAGACAGAGTCTCACTCTGTCTCCAGGCTGTAGTGCAGTGGTGTGTTCTCGGCTCACTGCAACCTCTGCCCCGCGGGTTCAGGCAATTCTGCTGTCTCAGCATCCTGAGTAGCTGGGACTACAGGCATGCATCACCATGCCCAGCTAATATTTTTATATTTTTAATACAGATGGGGTTTCAACATGTTGGCTAGAATGATCTTGATCTCCTGACCTCGTGATCCTCCCGCCTCGGCCTCGCAAAGTGCTGGGATTACAGGCATGAGCCACGGCACCTGGTGACTCATTTTTCTTAAAACAACTAAAGGCCTGGTATGGTAGCTCATCCCTGTAATATCAGCCCTTTGGGAGATGGAGGTGGAAGGATCATTTGAGCCCAGGAATTCGAGACCAGCCCAGGCAACATAGGGAGATTTCATCTCTACAAAAAAATATTTTTTAAATTAGCCAAGCATGGTGGTATACACCTGTAGTCCCAGATACTTGGAGGCTGAGGTGGGAGGATCACCTGAGCCCAGAAGACGGAGGCTACAATAAGTTATGATTATGCCACCGTACTCCAGTTTGAATAATAAAGTGAGAGCCTGTTCCCAAAAAATGAAAAAATAATTTAAACAACTGAAGACTACCAGAACTAGCCTGCGACTTTTTCGAAGATATACAAGCCAACCTGCAAGCAGTCAAAGAGCGTCACAAAAAATTGCTCATAGGCAAGAACACATATCTCATGCTAATTTAGTAAGATATAAGAATAGTTTCTACTGACAATTTATCCACATCAGATGAAGATTGACAAGCATGAAAAGAGGAGTCAAAGCATCTCTCACCAACTTTGGACGAGAACATTTTAGACACATACCAATATAAGAAGAATGTTTACTATCATTTAAATTGTTCTGGAATAATTACGTGGTTTTAATAAATGGACTGTAAGGTCATCTGCAGCAGTAGCAGTTTTCATAAACATTGCTAGAAAAATGGCAATTAATGGCTTCTTAAAGAACCATGCTTCAATGACTCAGGAAAAATTCCTCTCTGCCTTTGCCTGAGAGGTTTAGCTGACTGTCTACAGATATTGCGAAATAGGGCCAGGAAATCTACAAGAGTCAAAGTTTAACATACGGCTATCTTGTTGCATTTTCCATACCACCAGCAAATTCAGAAAGTCTTCTCAAAAGATCAAGTTTAAAGATATTTGAGATGGGAATATCCCAGACTAAAATTAAGACACTTATTGGGCCATTCTCTTCCAGACGGAAAAAAAAGAGAGAGGAAAGATTCCAGGCTCTTCATTTCACTGTGGGCAAAAATTACAGGAAGACAGCAAATTACTTACTCAATCACTCGTGGCTCTGGAGCTCTACGTATTACCTGCAAGGAAATAAGCAGATCTTACTTCTGGAACATTCGTAATCCTCATGGATACCAACTTACCGTATCTTCCCATTTCTGGTCAAAATAAAGTTAAAAATGATCCCTTTTCTATTCCAACTTCTCACTACCCCACTAGCGACCCTTGTCTCTGCTCTTCTTAAAGCTACTTCACATTTGCTAACAGACAGTAAAAGGAGATACAATTATTAATAGAATAAATCTTCCCAGCTGCCAGCAGCTCTGGAAAAATCTTCTTGACAATAAGATTTTTTAACATAGAAAGTATACTATAAAATAAGGAGCTTTTTTTTTTTTTTTTTTTTTTTTTTTTTTTTAGGTTTTTTTTTTTTTTTTTTTTTTTTTTTTTTTTTGAGATGGAGTCTTGCTCCTGTTGCCCAGGCTGGAGTGCAATGGCACGATCTCGGCTCAGTGCAACCTCCACCTCCTGGGTTCAAGTGATTCTCCTGCCTCAGCCTCCCAAGTAGCTGGGATTGCAGGCATCTGCCACCATGCCAGGCTAATTTTTGTACTTTCAGTAGAGACAGGGTTTTGCCATGTTGGCCAGGTTGGTTTCAAACTCCTGACCTCAGGTGATCTACCCGCCTCAGCCTCCCAAAGTGCTGGGATTACAGGCATCAGTCACTGCTCCCAGCCTAGAGCTTTAATAATTATTTAGAGTCATCACTACGGCAAGATACCCAACATTTTAACTTTTCCACGTTATTAAAAAGTAAATCTTCACTGTTTCCTACATTTTTTTCTCATAGGAAAAAAGAGCTAAAAATCAGGCATTTTGCTGTAATAACTGAAATTTTAATCTAATTCCAAAGATGTTGAAGTGCAATAGCACTGAAGAGAGCACAGTTTTAGGACTGCTGGAGCTCAAATAACCAATATAAGCAAGCTCTCATTATGGTGTAACCTCCTTTAATACAGGAATAATATGTGACCATAAACTGGGAGCAGACTACAGAGAATCCCCAGACGTAGAAAGGAACTGAAATACTTTGCATTTTGTTGTTATTATTATAGTTCTTCTGCTCTACTATTCATTAGTGAATTTATCCAGTCATTATTTGGTCTACTGTGTGAATAACACTTTTCAAAGCAAACTTTTGTCATTATTGAAGAAAAAAAAAACAAGAATTTACCTGCTGGGGTTCTTTGAACACAAACTCTCTATCAGAGAGATGATGCTCTTTGTTCTTCCAGGTCTGGTGGAGAGGGCTCTTAGCAGTGGTAGCTGAAGCAAGAGAGGAGACAGCCTCAAACTAGGGGAAAGTCTGTTCTCAGCACCTTCTACTGAGCAGCAAGGGCCAATAAAGCCCACTTGGAGATGACCTCTATGACATCTAGAAACTAACTGGTAAAGTCAACAGAAGACCTTAACACACACTGAAAGGTTTGAGGGTGTGGACTAAATATGAGGAACACCAAAGACCTACCCTTAGCTCATCATTAACAAAATATCAGCGACATTTTAAACAATTCCTTGACATCAACTGAAATAGAAGTCCATTATAAACCAAAAAGATATAAATAAGAAAGAATGAGAGTTGTACACACACACACACACACACACACACACGCGTGCGCGCGCGATCCCTATAGATTCTTGCCTTTCTTGCCTGGCTGAGCAATGGCCTGGCTCTTAGCAGGGGCAGCCCAGGCTCCCTGAACTCGGGCTCGCCGTCTTTTTTCCTCCATGTTGACCAAAAAGGCTTCTGCTCTGAGCTTTTGGAAGATTTTGTTCCTGCTTCAAACTACTCAATGGTATCTGTTTATTAAGACAAAACAAAATCGTGTTTTTAGTTAGGGTTGTGAACAATTACTCGTAAGGCATAATTAATTTCAGGCAGAAGACTCTCAATGGCAATAGAGCTTCCATGTAAAATCAGTTTCTGCCATCACAACGTTTCAATCAAGAGGCCTAAGTCATTTGGGGCTGCTGGCTTTAGCATTCACCTTTTGAAATCTTATCATAGTACTTTTGCTTCTTTCACAAAAAAAGTGCATTTTAGGAAATTCTAAAATCAGGACCTATCATAAACCACATTCTCCTTAATAGTGCCCAAGAGTAAAAAATAAGGAAACTGTACTATTCCCATTTTCACATACATGGACATTGAGAAATAGGCTGAGACTGTTTCCAAGCGTATTTTCATATTCCATTATCACTGGCTGCATGAGACTTCCCTGGAAGTTTGTTCAAAACACCCATGGCCCACCTCCAGAAAATTTGATTTAGGATGGATACAGGTATTTGCCTTTATAACAAGGAGTGTAAGATTTGACACTATTGCAGGCATGTATGTGGGCCACACTCAAGAAATCTACAATAGGTAGATTAACATTCAACTTTTATTAAATTCCTGTCTCCAACTGAGAAATCCACCTCATAATAGTTAATAACACTAATTTGACATTTGCACCAATAAAAGTTTAGCCTACAGCAAATGCAGAAGCATGTACGGCTAACAAAATAACAAGGAAATTGAAGCCACGTGTTCCAAATCTATAATCCACTTCCTTATGCTTCTACCTAAGAAGGCTTCACACCTCAAGTTCTCAAAGATAAAAGTTCATTTTATACTAATAGCTTGCTTAGCCTATAGATTCCCAGGTCCCATCTCCCACCTCTTCTGATTCTCTAGAGCTAAGCCAGGCTCAGGAATCTGTTTAACCAGTTCCCCCAGCTGATAAGCATGTAAATCATTTCATTTAATAGGTGGGGAAACGACAGAGGCTGCATCTGCCCAGAAGAGTTAATGGCAGAATCAAATACCAATTCTCCAATTCCAGGATCTCCCGTTTGACAATTTCTCTCAATTGAGGCCTTAAATGCGTGACACAGCAATTACCTATAGTCCCCAGAATAAATATGACTTGCTCACCTTCTTCCTCCGTTCACTGGGGAGCCATATATTATTTGTCAGGCAACAACTGTTGAAAATACAGATTCCAGAGCCCCATCCCAGACCTATTCAATTTGTAGAGCCCCAGAATTTGTTAACTAACACCATCCTCAACCCAGGAATTCTTAATGCACATAGAGTCTGAGAACCAGTGCTGTAATGTAAAGTACAAGGACTCTGGCACCAACCAGAACTCGCCTTGAATCCAGATCTGTCACTTCCCAGCTGCATGGCCCATGGCAAATGACTTCACCTTTCTCAGCCCCAGTTTATCCTCAGTAAACAGGGGAGTCACTTCCTGCCCAGTTGAGGTGCAGATTAAGCGAGCTTCGTAGGTAGAAGAGCTTGGTCCTGGATAAGGGTAGTTCCTTTTCCTAATTTAGATCCTCTTCCAGGAGGCCTAGAATGAGGCCCAGGAGGTCACCCAGGAAGAGACCTCAGGGGTGGTCCTCACACCCCCAGCCCCGCGCACCCAGCGGTAAGTCGGGAAAGCGCACTAGCTGGCGGAGCCGGACACGCGGGTCGAAACCCGCTAGGACTTGGAGCAGCCCTTGCAGCCTTGGACCCACTCCGCAGTCTGTGGTCGGAGCCTTAAGAGTGAAGCACCGACTCCAGCAACCCCCAATCACAGGCCGCGGCATCAGACACTTCCTCTCTACGTTACGCGGTGCCGCCGCTACTTCCGGTGCACCATCCTCAGTCCGGGCAGCCTCACATGCCTCGCGTCTAAAGGGCCTAATCAGAAGGTGCCGATGAGGGGCTAGGGGCTGGAAGGGAGGACAGGGATTTAGAGTACGGTGGAGCGGTGTGAAGGGGTCGGGGTTTGGCAAAGGTGGAAATGAAGGCGTGTCTCCTGCGTGAGTTCCTCGAAACTGGAGATGGCCAAGCATCGGCATCTTTGTGGCAGAAAGAACGACCGGGTGCCAGCGGGGCTGGATAAAGGGCGAGGGTCTTGGGGAAGCTGGTTATGATGTGCTAAGCAAAAGGATTTGCATTTTATCCTAAAAGCCTCGGAGAGCATGAGATGAGCCTCCTTTGTGTTCCTATTGCAGCCTGTGCACGCCTCCGATCACAGCATTTACAGCACAGCATAGGACCACGCGTTAATTCGCCTTGGCTCTCTCCAGTGCTAAGCAAATTTTGCTTGGGTGAACAGACCTACATTTTGGCCCAGACACCACCATTTACTAGGTGTATAATCTAGGGCAAGTCCTCGCCTCTTTTGAAAATGGGTATAGCTCTTGCTGGGAGGATTAAATGAGATAATGCATTTAAAGAACTTAGCACAATGCCTGGAACACAACAAAAACTCAAAAATTTTAAAAAGAACTCAATTTGAGCTCATGAGAAACATCGTTAAAGTGGCCATGTTAAACCATGTACCTTACAGTATGAAAATAGCAAAAGCAGCACCTGAATTGACGGTTTTATGCAAGTCATTCTCTAAGATCTGCCAAAGTATAGTCACTGTGGAACTCTTTAAGCCTGGTATGAGTGTTTATCTGCAGGAAGCTCAATATAGGTACACCGCATCACTGTATGTATATTGTTCCTACTATCAAATCTGTTTTCACAGCACTCATTATTATTTGTTATAGTTTGTGATATTAAAGGAAAAATGATTTATCCTAGAACTGAGAGAAAATGCTAAGGTCAGACTACAGTTTTTCTCCCCCATGAACTAATTTGTCAGTGTCTCTGCTTCTGGCTCAGGAACTTTGGCTGTATCTTCTAAAAGATGTCATATCTTTCTTTTCAATGATTATAGTTTTGGAACAGGAACAAAGAAGTCTGGGTTGAGGAGTTCCTAAAAGTAGTAATTAATCCCTCTTCAGCCTCTAAGTAGTGTATTTCTCAAAAATCAATCCTTGATTTACTTGCATCTGAAATCACTGCCTTTTTTTTTTTTTTTTTTGAGACGGAGTTTTGCTATTGTTGCCCAGGCTGGAGTTCGATAGTGTGATCTTGGCATCGCACAACCTCCACCTCCCATGTTCAAGCGATTCTCCTGCGTCAGCCTCCTGAGTAGCTGGGATTACAGCTATGTGCCACCATGCCCAACTAATTTTGTATTTTTAGTAGAGATGTGGTTTCTCTGTGTTGGTCTGGCTGGTCTTGAACTCCCAACCTCAGGTGATCCGCCCACCTCAGCCTTCCAAAGTGCTGGGTTTACAGGCGTGAGCCACTGTGCCTGGCCAAATCATTGCATTTTATTTTTAACAGAATCACCTGCATTTTTAACAAGTACCCAAGTGATTCTGTGCACAAAAATTTTGAAAACTTTTAGGACACATGTAGGATGACACATTGTTCTGGTTTGTTTGGGCCAGGCCTGAGGAGTTTCCCAGGACACAGGACTTTAATTGCTAAAGCCAGGACAGTCCTGGGCAAACTGAGATGGTTGGTACCCTAGAAAATGCGAGTATATAGTATTAAATGTTCTTAATGGTCTGGGCATCCTCATTTGGGCCTTGATTTTCTTATTTCTATTTGCAGTTTTTAGGGTTTTATCAGGAGGTGGTGGTAGAGACCACGGGAGAAGGAATGAAGACAAAATGTGTTGCCAGTTATCAACCTATTGAGTCTCCATTCCAAACCCACCCTTCACTACCCTACTTGCAATATTGGAAGGTTTCTCCCTTGCCTTTTGGCTCAATGGGCAGTAAGCTTCATCAGTAGAGGGTCCTGGAGGAGCTTTACAGGAGGAAGAAGCTGTTTTTCCTGGTTCCAGTATGCTCTTCTCAGCTGGCTCTTTGGTGCAAGGTGGCCCACAGTATTTGACTACTCCTTGTGGGTTGAGTTCCGAGATTGAACTCAAGTGAAAGTTAAGGTATCAATTGGGAAGGAATGGAATCCCAAAACTTGAAATAAGCACTCTGCTTAGACCAGATAACTGACAGTCTTGAACACCCGCATCACCCTGAGCCTTCCTTGGCAGTGGAAGTAGCTTGTCCTCCTATGTCTGGGGACACTAGTTATTATTTGCTTGAAGACACTGCTAAGCCCTCAGCTGGGGTAGACAACTTCAAAAGGGAGGCTCATTCTCTACAAGACCCACCAGAATTTACTTCCCCTTCTTCTGCCCCATTGCCGCTTGACCCTAACTAGATTCAAACCTCATTAATGCTTCAGGTAGGCTGGTACACACTATGATGTAGAATAAAACAGCTTGCACGATGAAATAATTATACTAATTACATATACTTTGCTAATGTGTGGAATGTGTGGAAGTGGATTCTAAGTGTTTTAAACTAAGGAGGGCTGTATACAGTACTAGATCAGGTATGGAGCCACTTACTAGTGTGCATTTATAGACATTGTATTGACTCATGCAATTGGAAGTGACTCTAACAGTTTATTTGGTGGATTTATTGATTTAACTCAACAGTAGTCTACAGTTAATACTATTGGGATGCCAAGGCATGATGTGGAGGGGGGAGCTCAAAGACTTAGAGGGGTAGAAATGTTGGACTGAATTGATCAAATGTGACCTTGACCCGCATGCCATAGACACAAACACAAAAGCTATATCCCACAAAAAGAACCAGAAGATGCTCCTTTGTCTTAGATATGGAGAAATAATTTAGACAAGGGAGCACTTGCATCCTTGGAAAGCTCTGTGATTGCTCTCCTTTGCAAGCCAGGTATGATCATGGAAGATGCCACCATTGAGTTGGGCTCCCCAGTTTTAGTGGAGATGATGAGGCCAAGTGGCAGGACTTAACTGTTAAAGGTACAGACCTCAACCCTATAGAGAAGCCAGGACATACCAGTAATCAGAATATGTTGGCCTTTAAAGATCTTTGGTAGTGGCCATTGTGTCCCTAGGGATGAAACAGATGGGCAGCCTACTAGAGAGTTGTTTGATCTAACAGAAAAACAACAAAAAACAAAAAACCTCTAGGTCTAGTAGCCAAAAATCTCACCTGAGTCCCACATTGGCTAGACATATCCTCTCACCTAGTTTCCAGACAAGTCATATCACTAGCCCAAACCTCTTGATTGACAGGGAGACCAGATCTCTTGGAGGAAGGACCCTGCACCTTTGTCACAAGTATATACTGTAAATTTTCCTCCAAGCCTTCATCCAAATGAATGCAGCCATTTACTCAAATGGTTATATACCAGGGAAAAGTAAACCCCGATCTTTTGGGGTTTACTGGGCACTGGCTTTGAACCAATTCCTGGAAACCTAGGACACCTCTGTATCCCGCGAGTGAAAGTGAGGGCTTATGGTGTTCAGGTGATAGATGGAATCTGAGTTCAAGTTTGACTCATAATGGACCCAGTTGGTCCACAGATCCATCCAGTGGCTATTTCCCTAGTTCCTGAATGTATAGATGCTTCCTTGACTTATGATGGAGTTACATCCTGATAAACCCATTGCAAGTTGAAAATATCATAACTCAAAATGCATATGCTACACCCAACCTTCCACCCAATGTGAAACATAACAGCTTAGCTTAGCCTGCTTTAAACATATTCAGAACACTTATATTAGCCTAAGCTGGGCAAAATAATCTAAGACAAAGCCTGATAATAAAGTGTTGAATATGTCATGTAATTTATTGAATACTGTACCGAAGTACAGTTTCTACTAAATGTGCACCACTCTTGCACTATTGTCAAGTCAAAAAATCATCAATGTTGGTGACAACCCAAATTGGAAAAGAAAAAAAAATCATCAATGGAACCATCATAAGTCGGGGACCGTCTATAGTTGGATTAGTCTTATTTGGCAACTGCCAGAATCCCCAAATTGACTCGCTGACCCATAGAGTGAGGGCCAGTTGGCAGAAAAGGCTACGTGAAAACTCCTGGAACTTCCCCTTACTACTAAGAGAGTAAATACTGGCAATACCACATTCCTGGAGGAATTGCAAAGATTAATGGCGCAATCAAAGACTTGAAAGAATCAGATGATAATTCTATCACATTCTCATTCTCATTTAATTTACTGTTGGCCTGTGCAGAAGTCAAATGGATCTTGGAGAATGACTTGGCTGTTGTAAATTTAATCAGGTAGTTACTCCTTGAATCCAATGCAGCTGCTGTTCCACATGTGCTATCTTTACTGAGGCAGTTAACATAACCTTTTGCCTTTAGTGTGCAGCTCTTGACCTGACTCATGCTTTTTTCTCCATGTTAACTTACAAAAAGCATTCTGCCTTGGCTGAGCACAGTGGCTTATGTCTGTAATCCTAGCACTTTGGGAGGCCAAAGCGGGCAGATCACCTGAGGTCAGGAGTTCAAGACTAGCCTGGCCAACATAGTGAAACCCCATCTCTATTAAAAATACAAAAAATTAGCCAAGCGTGGTGGTACATGCCTATAGTTTCAGCTACTCAGGAGGCTGAGGCAGGAAGATCACTTGAACCAGGGAGGTGGAGGTTGCAGTGAGCCGAGACTGTGCCACTGCACTCCAGCCTGGGTGACAGAGTGAGACTCTGTCTCAAAAAAAAAAAGAAGAAACATTCTACCTTTGCCTGGCAGGGCCAACAATATACTCTCATAGTCTTGCCTCGGAGATACCTCAATTCTGCTGTCATACTACAGGTCCACCTCTCATCCTGACATTCTATAAAACATCACACTAG